AAGGATAGTTGTGAGGGATTGAGGAATGCAAGAAGGAAAGAAGAGTGAAACAGCATAAGATGAAAGGAAGCTGCAGATACGTAAGGGGTCACGCGAAGCAGATCCTATTTAAACATACATTTTTCCAAATTTCCTTCAAATATATAAATTACGCTTAAAACAATCCAACGAATACACATAGGTTATAGCACCCTGTATTGTGACCCACAAATCTACATCCGTATTCTTAGGTCAATATTTTTCCCAGGTCATTCAAAATAGAACATGAAACAATGACTTAACTGAATCAGTTTAGAGTCATGAAAGATATGAGTTAACACTGGTTTGAAAATAGAGTTGTTGATTCATGGCACAAGTTACACTGTTACATAATCGACCGCTGGGTTTCGCTCGATTGTTCTAAGCGTAGGTTATACATATATGGAAGAGTAAGGGAGTAGCTATATATAAAGTAGTGAATAGTATATAGTGTTTATAGGTGTGGCTTCATCTTGGCCATTTGGCCTTCTTCAGGTACTTTTATTCTTATGTACTTTTTACTGTCTTTTTACTGTCTTTTACTGTCTTTTACTGTCTTTTACTGTCTTTTTACTGGTACTTTTATTCTTCTTTCTATTCAGAAAGGACATATCATACTTAATTTATATTTTGTGTTGATAAAAATCTTGCATTCTATTAATATCCTTTATTTATAAACTTTTCTTCCATTTGTATATTTATGTCTTGTTCCACAGTAATCAGTTTCTTCAAAATAGTACGTCTGTTTAAAGCTGGAGGTCAGACGCTTAGAGCTAGTCTCACCCAACTTTCCAGTATGCTGCAAAGGGGAGTATGAAAAAGTCATAGGTCTATCAGGGTTCGCCCCAGTGCCAACCTTTAAGAAATATCTGTTCCTTTAATGACCCCTGCGATTTTGATCAAGTCTGAAATCTGGTATTTATTGTCTATAGAGTTATTAACGGCATTTCAATGTTTCTTAATATTAGCTTTTCTGAGAGAGAGAGAGAGAGAGAGAGAGAGAGAGAGAGAGAGAGAGAGAGAGAGAGAGAGAGAGAGAGAGAGAGAGAGAGAGAGAGAGAGAGAGAGAGAGAGAGAGAGAGAGAGAGAGAGAGAGAGAGAGAGAGAGAGAGAGAGAGAGAGAGAGAGAGAGAGAGAAGTAAGGGGGTAGAAGAGAAGGGGAGAGAGGTATGGGTAAACAAGATGAGAGTGGGGATGATTATGGAGGGGGGGAGATGGGGTAAAAGGTTAAGAGAGTGGAGGAGAGGAAAATAAAGGAGGATAGTAGGAGAGGTGAGAGAAGCACGAAATTTGGAGAGAGAGGGTGAGAGAGAAAACGCGAGGGGGAGTTTGGGGAGAGAGACCTGGGCACAGCCGGGTTTCCCAACTAATTATTATATATATATATATATATATATATATATATATATATATATATATATATATATATATATATATATATATATATATATAAAGGAATTAAACTTCATTACCTTCTCTTCTTAAGATCATCATCACAAGTTTCTTCATCCTTCTCCTTACTTGAATTTTTGTCCATTCAATACGTAGACCAGAATTGAATGAAAGGATGGAAGGGAGGGAGAAAGAAAGGGAAGGAATAAGAAAGGATAGATGGTTGTATGGATAGAAGGAAAGAAACTTGGGATACCAGCCGGGGTCAGAATCTTCACATCTACCTCTAACTCATCACAGCCATGTACGGAACGCTGTCTACACCGGTTCCAACACCTGTTCCAACACCGGTTCCAACACCGGTTCCCTCACCGGTTCCAACACCGGTTCCCGCACCGGTTCCAACACCGGTTCCAACACCGGTTCCAACACCGGTTCCAACACCGGTTCCCACACCGGTTCCAACACCGGTTCCCGCACCGATTCCAACACCGGTTCCCGCACCGGTTCCAACACCGGTTCCAACATCGGTTCCAACACCGGTTCCCACACCGGTTCCAACACCGGTTCCAACATCGGTTCCCGCACCGGTTTCAACACCAGTTCCCACACCGGTTCCCGCAGCGGTTCCAACACCGGTTCCCGCAGCGGTTCCAACACCGGTTCCCGCACCGGTTCCAACACCGGTTCCAACATCGGTTCCAACACCGGTTCCAACATCGGTTCCAACACCTGTTCCAACACCGGTTCCAACACCGGTTCCAACACCGGTTCCCTCACCGGTTCCAACACCGGTTCCCGCACCGGTTCCAACACCGGTTCCAACACCGGTTCCCGCACCGGTTCCAACACCGGTTCCCGCACCGGTTCCAACACCGGTTCCAATACCGGTTCCAACACTGGTTCCAACACCGGTTCCCACACCGGTTCCCACACCGGTTCCCGCACCGGTTCCAACACCGGATCCAACACTGGTTCCAACACACACAAAAACAATCTTGCCTCACCCCTCTTGGATTTCATAAGAGGGGAGGTGGAGTTTTAATGAGAGGAAGACTGAGCCTTTGTCGTATGAGGAAAGAGAGAGAGAGGGGGAAAGAAGGTAGGGGGAAATGTTCGTTTTAAACGTAAAGAAGGATGGACTTATCTTTTTATTTTTAGGTGAATGGAGAATAGAAGGGAGGATGGGGTTAGGAAGATAGGACGGGGAGTGGAGAATGAAAACTTGAATAGGAGACGTAAGTTTATTTTTAAACCAATATATATATATAACTTTTTAAGCCAATATGTCTGCGTACATGATATAGTACGTGCTATAGTATCACATGTGCGTTATATAGCACATGTTCGTGATGTGCTATATCACGTACGGAAGATATAGCAAACGTACATTACTTGAACTATACATACAAAAGTCTCATTCGTCCGTGTGCTGCTCTCCCAACCCACGGAGCTTCTCTAAAACCAAAATTGTTTTATGCATTTCTGAGAAAGGATCAAAGACTCAGCAGCTTACTTGACTTCACATCAGCCTCTCACCGGAAAGTTGGTTTTACATTTATCTCTTTCACTGATCTCAGTGAAACTTTCATTCGCTCAGGAAGTTGTGAGCTGAGAGCAGCTCGCAAAATGGCTCGTGTGTGTCTTTGTAAATTCTTAAAGATCAACATGGGGTTTTATTTTTGTATTCCACAGCCATTTTGTGGAACAGACCATAACGGTGCAATTCTGATGGCGCCTTTCCTCAACAATCGTTTTGGAAGTGTCTTTGTAGCTATACTTTTGGGGGTACAGGTTGATTGATGATCAACTTTTACTAGTGGTGTAGCATTACTGAGTTGCGAATGTTGATTTTGTTGACATACACGTATCCAGAAGTTGAATGTCACCTGTCTGAGCCTTGTCGGAGAACGAGAGTCGTCCAGTTTCCAACACTCCCCCGCCCAAGCTCTCACCTCCCCAAACAACCCACTCACACCATCCAAGCAACAGCAAGGGGCACCGGACAGCTGGGTGGACAGCGCTTCGGATTCGTAGTCCTGAGGTTCTGGGTTCGATCCCAAGTGGAGGCAGAGACAAATGGGCAAAATGCTTCTTTCACCCTGATGTCCCGTGTTACCTAGCAGTAAATAGGTACCTGGGAGTTAGACAGCTGCTACGGGCTGCTCCCTGGGGGTGGAGGTCTGATCGAGGACCGGGCCGCGGGAACACTAAGCCCCGAAATCATTTCAAGAAAACCTCAAGATAACATGGCATAAAATAAAATTAAAAAAATATGGAAGTTTACAACGAGACTAGTGACAGAACACACAGAAACAACAATAAAGTGATATATCAAATGAAGAAATCCACAAGGACCATGATGAGGGTTCGAACCTAGGCGCTGAATGTTCCCAGTTAGACGCACTCTAGTCAACTGTACCGCAACATGGTAAAAGAACGGGAACCTGCAGTGCTACTGTTACTACTGTTACTGATCGGTTGAGTGAACTGAACCTCACAACGCTGGAGGACACAAGAAACAAAGGAGATATAATCACAACACGCAAGATACTGAGAGAAACAGACGAGGTGGACAAGCACTGCATCGTTAAATTGAGAGAAAATAGGATACGTGGATACAAGTGGAAGCTGGAAATACAAGTGGGTCGAGTAAACGACCCACTTGCCGGAACCCATATTGCCGGAACCCATATTGCCGGAACCCATATTGCCGGAACAACAGTGGACATTTTCAAGAGGAAACTAGATTTATTCCTGCAAGGAGTGCCGGACCAACCGGGCTGTGGTGGGTATGTGGGCCTGCGGGCCGCTCCAAGCAACAGCCTGGTGGACCAAACTCTCACAAGTCAAGCCTGGCCTCGGGCCGGGCTTGGGGAGTAGAACTCCCAGAACCCCATCAACCAGGTATCAACCAGGTAAACGTGAGATAAAACTCGTACTCTGTCCGTGTGGTCAAGAAGAGGAATGTACTGAGAAAAGAAGTTGTAGAAGCCACCTCCTTCTGCAACTATAAGGCCAGATTCGGCAAAGAATTCGAACGTTAGAATAGTTAAGCTACAACGCAACGGTGCAACAAGGTTAGTAGGCGAGGCATATGGAGCATGTGATGCACCCTGGACGGTAGAGCGATGGTCTCGCTCCATGCAGGTCGGCGTTCAATCCCCGACCGTCCAAGTGGTTGGGCATCATTCCTTCCCCCCCCCCCCCGTCCCATCCCAAATCCTTATCCTGACTCCGTCCCAGTGCAATAAAGTCGTAATGGCTTTGCGCTTTCTCCTGATAGTTCCCTCCCTCCAGTACTCACTGATAGGTGAGCACCCACACTTCCGTGGAAGTAAACACGCCATTCACTCGAGCTCTAAACTCTTTAGAGCCTTTATAAGATTACTCAATTGCTCGGTTGATACAGCTTCGGCTACACACACTCTTGGGGCCCACGGTTCGAGTCTCCTAGAGCCCAGGTGAATGGAATACGTGAGCACTCCTCAACCACCCTTACTTCCCACTACACTAAGATCGCTCAACCTTGTCAACTCTACTCAATTATCTGAGCAACACATCCCACACTAACCACATCACTAACACCGCCAACCCGCTTACTAAGCCAACCTAATCAATCAACCCCAATTCTACCCTACAATCATTTCAACCCTTCCCATTTTCCCTAACTCTCCTACTCTATCCTCACTAGCCATCCTGCCCCCTCCATCCCCACCCCCAACCCATCCACACCTCTCACGTCCCCAGCAACTCCAGGATCACTCGACGTTATGCTACAGGCATTTAGCCTCTAGCTGAGTTAGTCAGCTGTCACGGGCTGCTTCCTGGGGGTGGAGGCCTGGTCGAGGACCGGGCCGCGGGGACACTAAAGCCCCGAAATCATCTCAAGATAACCTCAAGATAAGAAGATAGCTGTGATCAGTATGTGATGAACATTAATAATCATCACCTTTTGGTGATGATTATTAATTAATAACCATCATAGCTTTTGTCGTGAAGGAAGCCAAGTGAAATTGTCTCGTTCTTGTCGAGTCGTATATTAGTCGTCTGCGACGCCGCTGCTGCCTGTTCTCAGCCCAACCGTCTTCATTAATGACGGGTTGTATAAACTAGAGGCTCCACTTAGCGTCCAAGATGGACTTAACCGTGTCTCCCGGCCAGGATACGAACCCATGACATAGCGCTCGCGGAACGCCAGGCGAGTGTCTTACCACTACACCACGGAGACTGTTACTCTTGGAATTCCTTGTCCGGATTCAATGCAGTTCTTGTGTTTAGGCGAGAAGACACGGTATAAAACAATTATCCCTTTGGCGCAGTGGTAGAGTATAAGATAGGTAGTTTCAGGGGAAAACTGATTAAGGATTAAGATGTGAAGGAAAACCTCTATGCCTTGCTAACAGGAATCGGAAGACGCCTGCCCCTAACTTGAAATGATTTCGGGGCTTAGTGTCCCCGCGGCCCGGTCGTCGACCAGGCTCCCTGAACCAGCCTGCATAAAAAAAAGGGATGGGTGACTTTATCGGCTTACAACAGAATGGTCCCGGATTCTATTTACGCGCAAGACTAGATCTTTGGACACGTTTTCTCCCAATTGGTGCTTCTGTTCACCCCTTGCAGTAAGTAGGCACCTCTACCCGCAAATGGGATATGATTTGATTGGTACATGGTAGAACTGCACCTTTTTCTGTAAAACCGCAGATCTCACCTTCACCTATATATTAAATAATAAAATAGGGTGTTATAATAAAGTGCTATACGTTAATCTCGTTATAAGAGATGAAGTTATAGCAGCTAAAAATTGATTAAGGACATTCTGTCCCAGAAGACAGATATTTAGGAGGCAGCTGAATGGTTTAAATTATGTCTCAGGCGCCAACTTCTTGTCAAAAGGAGTTCCATAACTGTCTTAATTTTGGATGAGATCGAAAATCCAGCTTCATCTGTTTAGGGAAAAGTTGTTTGTAATTAGACCCCACTTGTGGCACCCCTTCGTTTGACAGTATGATGAACAGAGCTGTTCTCTATGGGACGGAGCTGTTCTCTAGGGGGGGGGGGACCTGAGCTGTTCTCTTTGGGACAGAGTTGTTCTCTAGGGGGGGACCTGAGCTGTGCTCTAAGAGACAGAGCTGTTCTCTATGGGTCGGAGCTGTTCTCTAAGGGACGGAGCTGTTCTCTAAGGGACGGAGCTGTTCTCTAAGGGACGGAGCTGTTCTCTAAGGGACGGAGCTGTTCTCTAAGGGACGGAGCTGTTCTCTAAGGGACGGAGCTGTTCTCTAAGGGACGGAACTGTTCTCTATGGGACGGAGCTGTTCTCTAAGGGACGGAGCTGTTCTCTATGGGACGGAGCTGTTCTCTAAGGGACGGAGCTGTTCTCTAAGGAACGGAGCTGTTCTCTAAGGGACAGAGCTGTTCTCTAAGGAACGGAGCTGTTCTCTAAGGGACAGAGCTGTTCTCTAAGGGACAGAGCTGTTCTCTAAGGGACGGAGCTGTTCTCTAAGGAACGGAGCTGTTCTCTAAGGGACAGAGCTGTTCTCTAAGGGACAGAGCTGTTCTCTAAGGAACGGAGCTGTTCTCTAAAGGAAGGAACTATGTCGTACGTCCAGACTCGTCAACAGAGAAACTTTTTTTTACATGGACTGTTTCTCATACTGTGTTGAGCGTCCAAATGGAAGGGAGCGAGGGAAGAAATAGGAAGAATCAGGTGGTAACAGTGGAAAGGAAAGAAAGGATAGAACAAATAAAGGGAAAGATAGAACAAGGAGACGGATAGGAGAATAATGAGATTAAAATGATGTATGAGGAGAGAAAAATAAGGCGCTGGTTGGAACCTTTGACACCAATGTTGTTGACATTGTGTTGTTGACACCAGTGTTTTTGACACAGGTATCAACAACACTGGTGTCAACAACACTGGTGAAGATTTATGTTGTTCACTTGAAACGTGACACCAGTGGTGTTGACACCTGACGAGTGAGACGTTTGAAGTGAACAACAAGGCTCGTGCTCCAATATTCTGT